GTTTTATACTGAAGACTTTAAAAAATATTAATATTCCTGTCTATCCATTGATTAATCTTTCGTTTACCAACTGAAAGTTCTACCGACCTATCCATCTATTAAGGCCTTAATCTCTGAGGTGATTTAGGAAATAATATTGTAATTATTATTCCCTGTCCTTAAGCACAGACAATGCGACCCGGCTGGAGCTGGGCTCGCAAGGACTCACAAGGACACATCAACTGGGCCCTGAGATATAAAGAGAATAGCTAGGACAATCTTGGAAGATATCTTTTAGGGAATCTTTCACATAAATCAAACAGAACACAGAAGACTTTTCACCCTTATCTTTTTCTATTAGCATTTAGTGAATGGAAAATTTGTTGGACCAATGAAGATCCTCCTGACTGTCATTACTGAAACCTGTACCAATGATTGTTAAGAAAGACAATCGAAAATGTGGCACTGGCAGTCTGCTTGTTCAATTCCCACTTTTGCCTTTTTGAATGTATGCCAAACAAAACCTTCTGTTTGCTTTAGTAAACTTTGTGATGTTTTTTACCCTAAAACAGAGGAAATTTCAAGGTAGGTTCAGCTAAACAAATCAGGAAGTTTTAATATTAGAAGAGATATTAGTAGGATTTTCTTTGGTTACATAATTTTTTAAGAAGAAAATTAAGATTACTAGATTCAATCATTTATTATCCCTAAATATTTTTCTGTTTTCAAAATTTATAGCTGCCAGCAGCTGACTGAAACTTTCAGAATTTAATCAATTTCAAATATAAAGGCAAATTTCTATATTTTGTCTTTTCCTTTTTCTGTAATTTGGTAGTTTTTTTCATTTTACACATAGTAAGGAAGAAAAGATTTTTTTTTCCTATTTTGGTAGAGATTCTTAGAGATGAGGCATTAAATAAGAAAATTTCTTAAAAATCTATCCTAGTGCTATGGATTGTTAATTTTCATTTTGGACAAGAAAGGCAGAAAGTCTTTTTTCCAGATTGTTAGTTCCTAGAAAGATAGAAATGTTTCTGTCCTACTAACTAATGGGATAAACCATCAATGAGAAGTCAATGAATATTGTTGACTGATTACTATAATTTTTTAAATTTTGAAGTAACAATATTATTATTATATGCTGAAATAAATTATTTTCCACATTATTTTTTTAAAACATCAACCCACCGGCCTCTCTGCAGGAGAAAGATGTGGCAATCTGCTTCCCTCACAATTAAAGCCTTGGAAACCCTTTGGGGCAATTCTACTCCGTCCTATAGGGTCGCTATGAGTCAAAATCAACTCTACTGCAATGGGTTTTGGTTTTGGGGGAGATGATTTTTCATGATAGAATTTTCAAATTACGTCGTGGCAATTTGTTTCACACATGCTAACAATCATTTGATTTAAGCAAGTATCTATCCACCTGGAATCCGTGCTCATTTAAATATATTTCTTGAAACCCATGATTATTAAGGACAAAAGGTTAATTTTACCTTAACTCTACAAAGTACATCAGTTTAAATGTTTGAATAAGAAAAACATCATAAAAATGGAGAATAATATTTTTATGCAATCCTTTCTTCTTCAGTAGCCCACTGTATATGCCCAGACATAAATCCATCCCTAAAATTATATAAATAATGAAAACAAAACTGAAGAGGGTTTTATGTGCTGCAAATCTAAATATATTCCCTTCAATGGTATTAATACAAACATCTGAAAATAAAACAACATTTAGTTAAAATGATTTGAATTTTAAAGTTGAATGAGACCTTATTGATCATAGAATGAGGAAATGGGAACTTAGACATATTATCTAGCCAAGAGGGAGTGAAAATACATAGTAATTGAAAAACACCCTAGAAAGAACCAAACTACTACTTTTTTATTTTTTCCCGTACAAAAATTTATACATACATTGTTATGTGACCCTAACTGCTCTCCCCATACTGTGACAGCACACTCTTCCTTTCCACCCGATTTCCCGTGTCCTTTCAACCAGCTCCTAACCCACTCTGCCTTCCCATCTCACCTCCAGACAGAAGCTGCCCATTTAGTCTCTTGTATCTACTTCAGCTAAGAGGCACACTCCTCACAAGTATCACTTTATGTCCCACAGTCCAGTCCAGTCCCTGTCTGAAGAGTTGGCCTTGGAAACTGTTTCAGTTCTGGGCTGACAGAGAATCCAGGGGCCATGCTTTCTGGGGTACCTCCAGTCTCAGTCAGACCATTAAGTCTGGTCTTCTTACTAGAATTTGAGTTCTGCACCCTACCTTTCACCTGCTCCATCCGGGACTCTCTGCTGTGTTCCCTGTCAGGGTGGTCATTGGTGGTAGCCGGGCATTATCTAGTTCTTCCGGTCTCAGGCTGATGAAATCTCTGGTTTATGTGGCCCTTTCTGTCTCTTGGGCTAATACTTTCCTTGCGTCTTTGGTGTTCTTCATTCTCCTCTACTCCACGTGGTTGGGACCAACTGATGAATCTTAGATAGCCGCTTGCAAGCTTTTAAGATCCCAGGCACCACTCACCAAAGTAGGATGCGGAACATTTTCTTAATAAACTTTGTTATGCCAGTTGACCTAGATGTTCCCTGAAAGCATGGTCCCCAGACCCCCACCCCTGCTACTTTGTCCCTCAAAGTGTTTGATTGTATTCAGGAAACTTCTTAGCTTTGGTTTAGTCCAGTTGTGCTGACTTCCCCTGTAGTGAGTGCTGTCCTTCCCTTCACCTAAGATAATTCTTATCTACTATCTAGTTAGCAAATAACCCTCCCCCTCCCTCCCCACCTTCGTAACCATCAAAGAATGTTTTCTTCTGTGTTTAAACCTTTTCTTGAGTTCTTATAATAGCCAAACCACTAGTTTTAACCTAGAACTTATTTTTAATTTTTAACATGGGAAAAAAAAGCATAATTTTTTTTCTTTTTTTATTGTGCTTTAGGTGAAAGTTTACAGCTCAAGTCAATTTCTCATACAAAAATTTTGTACACATATTGTTATGTGACACTGGTTGCAATTCCTATAATGTGACAGTATACTCCCCCTTTCCACCCCAGGTTTCCTGTGTCCATTCAGCCGGCTCCTGTTCCTTCCTGCCTTCTCATCCTGCCTCTGGACAGGAGCCACCCATTTAGTCTTGTGTATCTGCTTGAACTAAGAAGCACACACTTCACGAGTATTATTTTATGAAAAAAGCATAATTAATAGATGGAGACGTTGCCAGACATCCAAATACACGATTTCTTTTTCATCTGTTCCCTTGTCTAACAAATTTTATTTTTAAGGTGAGACTTAAAATGACCTAGCTAAATTACTGCCATTACTTTTCTGATTTATTATGTGACATATCTCAAAGATATGTATTGTGCTTTCTTTTTTTTTTTTTCCTTTTAATGTTTGACCTGAATGCTCCTTCTTAATTTCACTTCACTCTAATGATACCCTTTACTCTATGCTGAATAATTCCTCCTACTCTTTGGAATAATCACCCTTCAGTTATTGCCCAGCCAAGTTACCCATTAAACTTTGATCATAAGTCAAGTGCTTCAATTATTTCCGTCTTAAGTCTCTCATTGACTTCTCTAACACAGGCACATTATATTCATCAAGGGTATTACATATATAAAAAAGAATGTTGTATTTTATTTTTCTTCACTCTTCTATTACCTAAGTTCCTTCTACTGGCTGTACTGTTTCCTAAAAGTGTTCTTTTCATTTATTTATTTATTTTCATATATATATATTTAAAATCCATTGCCGTCGAATGGATTCTGACTCATAGCGACCCTATAGGATGGAGCAGAACTGTCCCATACGGTTTCCAAGGAGTGGCTGGTGGATTCAAACTGCCAACCTTTTGGTTAGCAGCCTGAGCTCTTAACCGCTGTGCCACTGGGGCTTCATTTTTTTTTTTTTTTCCTATAGATAGCTATTTATATAATGAGTGAAAAATGTCCGACAGCTAGTCATGGGCAGGTTGTCACTGCCAAACTTAATTATCCCTAACTCTTTTTCTCACTTTGAATTCAGATAAGAAAACTGTCCATGTATCAATTGCATATGTTTTTAATCATGGTGAAATTTTATCAGAAAACCTACTCAGGTAAGTGTGAGAAAAGAATTATCATATGGCCCCCAGCCAATGTGCCTTATAGATTAAGTCATTTCGAATAAATTGGTGATATGTTGCTTTTTGAATTGAGTGAGCCTTGGTTATAAATCTATTCAATACTGAGTTGGCCCAGAAGCACTTGGCCAAAGAGAGAAACTAACCTGTGTCAGAGAGAGAGTGAAAATGCTGTTTGATGGCATTACCAACCACTGAAAAGTTATAATGCTTAAAGATCAGGATTATGGTGGTTCTGGGGCAGGGCAGTTCAAAGGACACAGACAAATGATTTTAAAACACATCAGACTGATAAAACAATTTATTTATTCTTAAAAGTGATTCGTGTATCCAGAAGAAATAGAATGTTTCTCTAGAATACGGGCCTATTTAAACCACTTAGATCATCAAGGATTACTCAGGATTCGGAGTGTTGCTTACCGTATCTATGGCATCATTCAAACTGGTTTCCTAAGTGCTTCAAGATACTTATTCACAAATTCCCTCCCTCTCTAAAAAAGTGGCAGATTAAAGGTAATAGACTGTAGCATGCAAAAGTACCAGAAAAAACACATTTCAGAGTGGTGTGGTGATGACAGACAAAACAAATACATGTTACAATAAGGTAGATGTCATTTTCCTCGCTAAGTATGTAAAAATGCCAATCACAAGTTTCTAACATGTCAGGTCATAAGTTGCAGCACCATAACAGATTCAAAGGATAGGTTCATTTATTTAAAAAGCCAACTAGAGAAAAGAACATTTCTAGTGAATGTAAGAAGTTGCTCCAGGTAAAAAAAGAAATTCATTCATGAATTCATTATTGTAATAAATTATTTTAGAATGCAAGACTACAAGGCTCTCCAATTTCTTTAACACTATTTTTAAAACTGTTGCTCAGGGAGGTTACTCACCCCGTCTGGCCTGCCATCTGAAGCCGTCACGATCAGAATATAGCGATCGGTGCTCTCCCTGTCCAGTGCTTTTCCTAAGCTTAGAAGTCCAGTACTAGTGACAGAGAAAACAAACATGTAAAACACACAAAGATATTATGTCACAAGAAGAGTATTTCTACCATGGTGAACTACTTTTGATAAAGGTTTCTCCCTCAGCAAATACAGCTTGAGTATTTAAGATTTATCATTCTAGGATTCATGTTTGAAATTAGAAAAGATGTTTAAGGCTATTGAGCTTCATAACAAAAATGAGGAATTGCAAAACTGAATAGGATAAGTGAGTTGCTTCTCTAGCCTCCAGGGGGAATAAATAAACTATGTTTAATTCATTCCAGGGAGAAATATATCCATCTTGTTTGTGATTATTTCCATGTTAAAAGCTCCATTATTCTTTAGCAGCCTAACAATTCTTAGAGACAAGGAATGGTTTCTTGTAACTACCTGATATCACCATTCCCATTCATTTCCACATATATGCCCATGGTGGGACTAAAAAAACATTCGAATTCCATCTTTGACAAACCCTGTAAAGTTGTTTTTTTTCCTAAAATATTTGAGGCTCATTATAGAAATTTAGAAAATGCAAAGTGATGTTTTAGAAGAAAACTTTTATAGATATAATGGTTAATATTTTTAATATTTCTTTTTATTCTTTTTTATAACCATACTTAAATATAACAGTTTTCAAAAGAGAGATCAGGCTGTATATTTTATACTATTTTAAAAAACAGTTTATGAGAACTCAATCTACTGTTTCATAATTTTTAAAAACTATTTTGTAGATACCCTAATAATTTTACCATTTTGCTCTTCTTTTCAAATTTAGGTGGATCTTAATTTTACTTATTATGTATAATGGGGATGAACAACCTTAAGGCAAATTCTTAGACATATTTTTAATACTACTACTTAGTTTTTCACTGTTCAGAATAAATGCTTCCAAATATTTAAACTTTATCTCCCAATGGAATCTGTTTTCTAGCAGTTTGGTCTTTTATATTGCTTTCTAAAACAAGCTCTGCAAGTATTTTAGGTTTTACAGTCTGACATTGTACATGATATTTTAATTAAGACCTAATAAGCATCTGCTGTGGAGGAGAGGATATCTTAATATAATAAACCATTAAATATTTATGAAGTATAAAAATAGGATTTGCTTCTGATTGATAAAAAGTTTTCATTTTAATACAAGTGCTTTTATTGTTATAGTGGCGTTTAAGCAATTCATGCCACATATGGTAGTTGAGCACAGAGTCAAAGCCAATGAATCAAAATGGGAGTCACATTTACTCTGTTTTATTTAGTAGCTGTTTTTGACATGGACTTAAATAAAATTCTAACATGGTATGACTATGAAAAACTAACTTTGCTTCTTGAACATTTTAAAAATGTTTTGTCAAAATAACTGAAAATCAATTCCCAGAGCATGTTCAAAACAATGAGGTTTGGATCAACTTCCCGCACCGCAGATGGTTCAGATAATCTCATTCTAAAGTGACATTCAAAAAGAAAAGTAAGACATTTATTGCTTCTGGTACTTACTCACAAGTTAATGTAAGAAAAAAGACATACGAAAAACTAGCCGTAGTACACTGAAAGAAAATTCAGTTACTATTTTCCTTATTCTCCCCCTCTGTTTAAGACTCAGTACTCTATATTCTTCCTTGTACATTATATATTTTTAAAAATACTAAGTATTTGTATACTATTCCTATCTAGGACCAAATTATAGATAAACAGCCAATTTTCAAGGTCTGGTAATTATGACAAAAATAGATCTTTCCTTCAGATAATGTATGCTTGTGTCCCAAAGTTGTAGGCAGTGGAACGGGATATTTGAGAGATGGAGAAGGCGAGAAAAAATAGGCAGTGTATTTTGGTATTCTCAGCTAATGACTGGTTCCTGGGTACTTATGAGGCATCCTTTCATGAAATACCAGAAATAAATGGTAAGGAGGAGTTCTGTTATCAACCAGATAGAGGCTATCAGGGCAGGATACAACACCAAAAACCAAACCAAATGCCATTGAGTCAATTCCGACTCATAGCAACCCTGTACGACAGAGAAGAAATGCCTCATAGGGTTTCTAAGGCTGTAAATCTTTATAGAAGTAGACTGCCACATGGGTATGGATTATCCAATAGCAAGGTAAACACAGTGCTTACTTTGCTTACTAGATCATCAGTAGTGAACAATTTCACATTTTTTCACCACATCAAAGATTCTGCTTCTAGGTATGACTAGAATCAAAGACTCTTTTCAAATTTATAATTCCTGACAGGCACGGATGAACCAGTAAGCAAGGTAAACATGGGCTTACTTTTTCTTTCTTACCAGTCTGTAGTGAACAATTTCACTTGGGGCAAAACATTATCACCGATTCATACAATAGAGCAGCAAAAGCCTGGAAGGAAAGGCTGGGGATAGAATTTCTTTGAGAAATTAGGGCACTGAAATCACCTGTGTTTACTGGGAAATTCAGAGAGCCACATGTATGCCCAAAGATGGAGGGATGCTTAGGAAAAACCTGAGAAGACCTCTAAGAACTGAAGGCTAAGGCAGAGTTGAAAAATGGCCTGGATAAGTGTTAAAAGAGGACGCTGGCACAGAAATAATCTGCAGAGACTGAAAAAATTCTCTTTCTTTCTCTCTCCCTCCCTCCTCGTGTGGAATGTTATGCAGTAATGAAAAAGAACAAAGTACTGACACAAGCTACACGTGAACAGTTTCAAAAACATTACACCAAGTGAAAAAGCCAGATACAAAAAGTCACATATTGCAATATGCAGATAACATAACCTTGCGTGCTGAAAGTGAAGAGGACTTGAAGCACTTACTGATGAAGATCAAAGACCACAGCCTTCAGTATGGATTGCACCTCAACATACAGAAAACAAAAATCCTCACAACTGCACCAATAAACAACATTATGATAAATGGAGAAAAGATTGGTTGTTACGGATTTCATTTTACTTGGATCCACAATCAACACCCATGGAAGCAGAGATCAAGAAATCAAGCAATGCATTGCATTGGGCAAGTCTTCTGCAAAAGACCTCTTTAAAGTGTTACAAAGCAAAGATGTCACCTTGAAGACTAAGGTGCTCCTGACTCATGCCATGGTGTTTTCAACTGCCTCATATGCATGCAAAACCTGGACGATGAATAAGGAAGACTGAAGAAGAATTGATGCCTTTGAATTATGGTGCTGGCAAAGAATATTGACTACACCATGGACTGCCAAAAGAACGAACAAATCTGTCTTGGAAGAAGTATGATCAGAATGCTCCTTAGAAGCAAGGATGGCGAAACTACGTCTCACATACTTTGGACATGCTCTCAGGAGGGATCCATCCCTGGAGAAGAGCATCGTGCTTGGTAAAGCAGAGGGCCAGTGAAAAAGAGGAAGATCCTCAATGAGATGGATTGACACAGTGGCTGCAACAATGGGCTCAATCATAACAACGATTGTATGGATGGCAGTGGACCAGGCAGTGTTTTGTTCTGTTGTACACAGGGTCACTACGAGTTGAAACTGACTCGACGGCACCTAACAACAACAATTTATAGAAAATATCCAGAATAGGTAGATCCACAGAGACAGACACAGATTAATGGTTGCCAGGGGCTTAGGTAAGGGGGGAATTAGAAGCAACTTCTAAATGAGTATGTGATTTCTTTTTGAGGTGATCAGTTTTAGAACTAAATAGAGATGGTGCTCGCTTGAGGGCTACATTCCTGAACTGTATTTTGTGTGACAAAATTAAACTCTCATAGACAATAAGGGTTGGTATGTATAACTATAAAAATGATATTGAAAATTTGTTTATAATTTTAAACAATGTTAATTAAAAGTAATAGAAAATGTCTACTTCCAAAGAAATCAGTCTGGTAGCATTTAATATCTGCTTTAATGAGTAACCATTTTCCCAGATTACACGGCTTAATACAAAAATTGCTGAAGCATCATGATAGACTAAGATATATCATCTCACGTTTCATGCTACATAGACCATCCTTCTTTTAAATATTCTAAAATAAGTTCTACTAGTTAAGATTAACATCATTTACACCTGTGTGTTCTGATGTTGAAGTCTCTTGACAAAATATTTAAGTGTCTGAGCCTTTGTCAAATTTATAATATTGCTTTAGGCACCATATTCTGGGCCTTATAATGATATTTAAAGATGGGAGGAATGTACTTGAAAATATTTGGAAGTTTTAAGTTTCACAGGACACTCAGTGTTAAAAAATTATTGGTAATTAACAAACACAGATGAATAAGGGGAGGTGTTGGTAGCATCTTCAAGGAAAAGATGATAATAGCATAAACTGAGATGGTAGAATGGAAGTTGTATGAAGTAGTTTGATTTGAGGATATACACTCACTCTGCACTTATTGACATGGTAGTTTCCAAGACTAGATCATTATGCAAAAATAGGTGTTATAAAAAAATGGATGATGGGCACATCAAATCACAAAATGGAAGATGACTACATCATTACATAATTGCCAAATTACATCATTACATAACTGCCAAACCACTGAGAATCATGTCCCAGACAAGTTCACACATAACCTTAACCATCATAGCCAGCATTACTCTTGCCTTGCACTTCGGCATTGATTACTGCCAGATGTTCATTGTTAATGCACAAAATAGTCAGATAGTAGATTTTTTACTATTGCCGTTAATGCAAAATGTCAGATAATGAGATAATCAATAAGTGAGGAGTACGTATATTTTGAAAGTAGAAGCGACAGGAAATTAAAATTCTTATCTATTGCTCACAGGCTATTTAATTTTCAAAGTATTTATAAAGTTTAAACTAACATGAGAAAGATAATCAAGCTTTAAGTTCAGTATCAAAAATGGGTTAGTCAAGACAGAAAGAAATTAAACTGTTAGTGAAGATAAAAATTTTCCGAATGAAATTCTCACAAAAACGCTTTGAGGTTCTCTCGTTTAGCACTCTGCCTTTAAATGTTACATTGCATACACTATGCTGGAATGATGACAAACAATAAGAATTTGAGAGATGGTAATTCTTCAACCTCCCTTAATAATGCATAAAATATTTGGCGATCATACTAATAAGAAAAGTTTTTTCACATTTTATTTAAATATTTACTTACATGTGGAATATTTCCTGAATAAATATTTGTTGAATCATATGCAACTATCAACACAGATGCTACGGAGAGTCATTGAAACCATGTGTTATGTCACAGAAATACACAAATGTGGCCTTTTAATATATGCTGCTAAATGGTTTTCATAACGAATGGTTGTGATTTTTAAAGAACCAAGACTTTTTCTTTAATGAGTGAGTTTTTTTCTAGGTTATATGACTCATCCAATTCACAGAACTGTAGATAACAATTTAACATTTGTAAATCCATAGTGGCTTTGAAATGATTATTTATCACTTGCTAAATTTGTCTAAAGAATTAACAGAAACTTTTTGACATAGTTTTTATTCCAATGGATGAAGGAAAAACTAATGGTATTATAACGACTATTAACTGAGATTTGCCAGTGAACTTTTTTTTTTTAGTTTTATTGAAATCCAACTTACCAATTGTTTCTTTCATCACTTGTGTTTTTGGTGTTGGTAGCTAAGACATCATTGCCTGACCAAATCAGGATGATTTACTTCTGTGCTTTATTCTAAGAGTTTTATGATTTTCTCTCTTACGTTTAGGTCTATGATCCACTCTGAGTTATTTGTGTGTGTGGTGTAAGGTAGGGATCCAACTGCATTCTTTTCTATGTGGATATCCAGGTGTCCCATCATCATTTGTTGAAAAGAGTATTATTTCCTCATTGAATTGTCTTCACTCCTTTGTCAAAATCAACTGACCATCAATGTTAGGGTTTATTTCTGGACTTTTAATTTTATTCTATTGCTATATATGTCTAGCCTCATGCCAGTACCACAGTCTTGATTACTGTGAAATTGTCCCTTTTAAAATGTTTAATTTATTTAATGATTATTGTAGATGGTAGCCAATTTATGATTTTTTATGTCCCTACAGGAGAAAATTAAAAATAGCTAAACCTTTCCAATTTTAAATATAATTTTACTCATGTGTGAAACCTAAAAGTTTAGGAAATATTGCTCTTGCCTGGGGTTTTCCAGACATTACTAAGCCATGATTGTAAAATCTTATTCAGTGTGAAATTACATGTTCCTAACAAGACCAAGGGACTACACATGGCTCACTGGATTTGGCATTCTGTGCCACATGTCCCTAAGACTGCAGCAGTGGGCTAGCTTATTCATCAACTTTTCCACCAATTTTGGTATTTATCTTTCAGGGAGTAAAATCACTCATGACCACACAGAAAACATCAGAGAGACAGCAAGTACAGCTCTTTAGCAACCAGCCACATGTGACAGAAGAACAGCTACTTTGCCATTGCGAATAGGAAGCAAATTATCTCTCTGGAAGCTGCAATACTTTCACTTAATCCCGGTTCTAAGTTTTCTCAGTAGTTATTATTACCACTGTCTCTAATATGTTTAGACAGCTACACAGAAGGACACTGATCTCATCCTCAAATAGGCTTAGCATGGATACACAATTCTTTTATTTTAGCTATTTTAGAATCCACCTCAATTAATCGGAAATTAGAGGTTGGATTCTGGTGACACTTTAAATGTGTTTGTAACACACCTCACCTTAAAAAATTTCTTCTGAATGAACTATTTAGTGCCTGGTACTCTTTGTAGACATGCCCTGGCCATTATGACTAGCTGAGAACTTTAAAGGGATCTAATTAATCCCAGGTTATACTGGAAAATGAAATGTTTCCACCTCAGTGGATTTTACCTAGTAAAAATGTTTGAAAAGAATAAATAGTCTCCTGGGTAAGATTTCTGGGTTCAGAACTATCCTCCCAGCTCTCATTGACATTTGTAGTAAAAAAAATACTACGACATACAAACAGCTGAAAGCCTCTGATTAGGAGTCTGTTCTCTTGCTATTGATGCATTGTTCAACATTTTTAAAAAAAAGGAAAAAAAAATCAGTTTAGAAATAATTTTTAACTTACGTTTCTGAAAGATTAAAAACTCGCTGAGGATCTCCATTCTCAATGGCATATGTTATTGGGTCTCCCTCTCGATCAGTTGCCTTCAGAGGAAAAACATAATTCAATTGTCAAGTAATTGATATGGCTACATGGCTCCTTTCAGTACAGAGTAATACAGAAATTTGAAACTAATAGCACTGACCATCTATGATGTTCTTAAGAGTAAAGATTAAACTACAGCCTAATGGTAAGACATAAAAAATAAAGAATTTCATGTCTGCTGCCAGCTTTTCTGTCATTTCGTATCATCTGAATGTAGTAACAGTGAATAAGAATAGTATCTCCTGAGTGTACACATCATCTTACTTGGGAGAGGAATACAGCAATGATTTTCCTAGGGTTAATTCATTTAATTTTATATGAGTCTATCTCTACAGTTTAAACTGATGGATGATATATCAGGGATATGAGAAGGATGTGCCTAAACATGAACCTAGGGAGAGGGGAAATACTCAAGAGAGGGCTGCACTAATTTTATTTGTAGATTACTGGCCTGGCCTGCCTTGCTGACTGACAATAACTGCTATGGAGCTGGCAGAACGTCAGAGAGGGATACCTGTATGAGGTTCTTATAGTGACCGGAAAGTAAGCATCCCAGACATAAAAGCCTAAATGTAAAATTGCGTATCTAGACCAGCAGGGAGGGACTGTTCCTACTGGTAGAGCCGATAGCTTTGACATGAATCACATATCATGGTATTACATGTTACTAGTCATGGAACCTCTCTATCAGCTACCACAACAGATTGATGAATGGCCAAAAGCCTCTCCTGGGTGACATAAAACCCAGGTTCCAGAAACAACTGATTAATAACAGGTAACATTTACTCTGTGCCAAGTTCTGTGAGAGAAGCTTTGCAGGACCATTTCATCCATGCCTTATGAAACTGCCTCCTCAGTGAAACACTTCCTTCACACTGCTTTTGTGAAATCATATTCTCCTGAATTTAATCCCACCTGATTGGCTACTTTTCTCATTTGCCTTTGCTGATTTCCCCCTATCTATAAGACATTTTCACACTGTACAGCTTCAAGGGTCTGTCCTTTACCTCACTAACTTGGTCATTTTATCCAACTACATAGCTTTAAATAGTATCTATATGTCAAAGACTCTCATATCTCCAGGCCAGCACTTTGCCCTGAATTTCAGACTCACGTAAAAGTTATCTACTTGAATCTCCAATTAGTCGAATAATAAGCATCCTCAATTTAAAGGTCAAGAAACTCAAAATCCCTATCCATCTCCAGTCTTCACCCTCCCTGCAAAAATTAAAACCAAAAAACAACCATCTGCTGTTTTCATTGTCTTTATCATCTCAGTTAATAGCAGCAACTCTGTCCTTCTACTTGCACAAACCACATATCTTGATACCTGACCTCTCAAGGTTACTCCCCAGTGCAATCCATCAGCAAATCCCATTGGATCTATCTGTAAAGTATTTGCAGTATCTGACAATATCTGCACTCCTTCCCTATTACCACCTTCCTTGTGTGTTATGACAGTAGCCATCTTAGTAGTGGCCTGCCTCCTCCTTGTCATTATCACTGTTGTCAGTGATCATTTTTTCTAGACCAAGACTTTGCGGTGTTTGGGCAAAGTTTATTGTATTCTCTCATGCACAAAATACAAAAGAAAATAATAAAAAATGATGAAATAATAAACTGTCTTGGGTAAAATCCTTGAAACATTTTGAAACATCTCATTTAAATCTAATACTAAAAATTTAACTTTTATTAAATTACTTACAATGGTAGCCTAAGACTAAAAAGTAAAACAGAGGAATTCAAGAAATGCACTCAATTGGTTTGGTAGTAAATGCTTGATATTTCCCCCTTCTTTTCTGTTTTCTGTGAGGCAAGAATTAGCAAAGAAGATAAAATGAAATTGCAATTAATGATACTCATTTAACTGAAGAATAGTGTTATGGATTGAATTGTGTCCCTCCAAAATATGTGTTATAAATCCTATGCTCTATGCCTGTAATTATAATCCCATCTGGGAAAGACTAGTCTTTGTTAGTTAATTAGACAAGATTAGTATAGGGTGTGTCTTAAATGAATCTCTTTTGAGACATAAGAGATTAAACAAGCAAGCAAAAGAAGCAGAGATAGGGAAAGATGTATACCAAGCCACATGGAGATCTTCAAGGAACCAGGAAACAAGCTGAAGAGACAAGGACCTTTCCCCAGAGCTGACAGAGAAAGCCTTCCTCTAGAGCCAACACCTTGAATTTGAACTGCCCTGGTGGCGCAGTGGTTAAGAGCATGGCGGCTAATCAAGATGTTGGCAGTTCAAATCCATGAGCCAATCCTTGGAAATCCTATGGGGCAGTTCTGCTCTGTCCTATACGGTTGCTATGAATCTGAATTGACTCGATGGCATCAGGTTTGGTTTGGGTTTAGCCTCCTAAACTGCGAGAAAATAAATTTCTGTTTGTTAAAGCCATCTACTGATGGTATTTCTGTTATAGCAGCATTAGATAACTAAGACAAACAGCATCAATTTTTTAAGAAACAAAGAATTATGCTGTATCTGGAGACTATATTATATCACTAAAAAGCTTCCACTAAACTTTTTCCAAGAAGCCCTGGTGGTGCAATAGTTAAGCACTGGGCTGCTAACCACAAGACTTGCAGTTCAAATGCACCAGCGGTTTCCTAGGAGAAAAGGCAAGCTGTGGAAACCCTGCGGGGCAGTTCTGCTGTGTTACGTTGGGTTACTATGAGTCAAAATCGACTCAACTGCACCCAACAACAATAAAATTTTTCCATTGTTTTTCTGTTTTTGACAGTCATCTTTTCATGTCATATTTTTATAGATATTTTCAGATTCTTTTTATTTGTTTACTGCTATGTGGTTGACGTTTTTGTTTTCTTGAGAGACAGTTTATGGTCTTTTGTTTTCACAAAGCCAGAAAAAACACTTCTGAAGCAAGACAGCTTTGTGTAAACAATTATAAATCTAGCTTAACGTTGTACCTTTCTTTCAATCAATCACGTCTACTCTAACATTTAATATTTTTGGAGCACAAAAATAATTTTGTGGATATGAGAACACAGCGAATGTTGCATAATTTTTGTTTACACTATACATTTGCTTATGCAAGTGAACTAAAAATAGGGAACAATTTCTAAATAAGTCTCAATATTTTTGGCCAAATTAATTACTTCCAATCCCTGAGGTATCTTGAAACATTTTTTTCAGCTTTGTTTGACCTTTAAATGCCTTAGACTTTTAAGAATAAAATAAAATAAAATAAAAACTTGTTGCTGTCAGGTCAATTCCAACTCATAGAGATCCTATAGGACAGAGAAGAACTGCCCAACAGGGTTACCAAGGAGCAGCTGGTGGAATTGAACTGCTGACCTTTTGGTTAGCAGCTGTGCTCTTATCCACTGCACCACCAGAATAGTGTGCCAATAATTTGCCTACTCTGTTCTTACCCATATTGGAAAGTTGAGCAGAAAACAATCAGTAGAATTTAGTCATTGGTTTACTGGTATATGTTTAACAACATTAATAATAATAACACAGTTAACAAAGATAAAGCTGATCTTCATTTAACTTTTGCTTGAAGGTCAAAGAATACTCTTAAAAATCAAAGCACATCCTCTTTCTGGTCTATCCAAGCAGCTTACTGCATCTGCGTTTGAGGCACCCATTTTACCAAAGCACACCAAAAAGTATTTATAAAAATGAATCACGTGCTTAGGCTCTGGAAAATAAAAGTTTTGAAAAAGAAAACAAATCTTCTCTAGCCTAATATTCTGTTCATGTTAAAGATGAACACAGCCATCAAATACCATCTGGTAGAGTGCACTTTGTGTGCACAGAAGGATTCTACACATTTCACAGTACATTAAGACAAAGTACCTGCCCTTAGGGATTCTAAAATAGATAAAAATCAACGGATTTAGACGATCTTTTCTCTTCTCACTTAGGCAAACAAGTTCTGATTTATGTTATTAAACTGCTTGAGACCAAGAACTGAAGCTTTCCACTCAGTACCACAGTGTTTCCAAAAATTTGTACATGCATCCCTGGTAGTAAATCACCAACCCCTAAAAAAATTAAATTTTTATAAATATATTTCAATAAGGACTAATGCATACAGTCTGTTTATATCAAGTAGTTCTGTGTTGCCATTTGATTCTTATATAAAATTCATTTTGAAGTAAATTCATTTAAATAAAAAAATTTTATTCAATTTTCAAAAAATACGTAAATAATATGACAAATAATATGTAAATGTGGTATAACTGGAAATGCAACTAAATCTAGAATGGCAAAAAATATTAAAATGTTCCAGAATACAAGGGTGTTGTAAAATGACACCTGGGAAGAAACTAGACCTCCAAATTCCTCTTTTTCTTTCTATATGGGAGGTGATTCATGATCTATTACTCAGGCAGATAAATACAATGTTTTGGGCTAGGAAGGGCAAACAGATCCTTTGCTGATCATGTTGAAAATAAAGTGACTGTTTAAAGATGAGTATATTTTACTTATCTCATCCAGGGAAATTTCTGAAAATTAAGAAAGCCTTAAAAGGTAAAGTCTCTAGACTTTGGTCAGACTTACAGAGAACCCATGAAGGCTCAGTCTCAAAATTTTTCTTTGTGGTTACAAAGTGGTTAACCTTAGAACACAAAGTGGTTTAATCCATTCTAAAATGGGCCCACAACTCCAATTTATTCCAAGTTTCAAGGAAGAATCAACAAAATAAAGTCAGCATTAACACAAATAATAAAAATAATCCATTCAAATAATGATAATTAGTAGTCTTTATTCTCTATTATTTATTAGGCACTTTACATACCCCATCTTATTTAACCCTCAAAGCACTCCTATCTGGTAAGTATTATGATCCCTATTTAACATGTGATAAAAATTTAAGCTTGAATAAGTTAAAGAATTTGCCAAAGATTAGAAATGTACTAAATATGCAGGCATAATTCAAACACTGTGCCCTCCGGAACTAATAATCTATCACTAGCAGAATCCCTTATGTCCTAAACGTCTCCTGTCAATGTTTCCTTC